TCACTGTTTTTGCCACTCATTGCCAACTAACGGCATTGCATGCAGTTTTGTTAAAAACTATACTTGATAATCATATTAAAGGCAATTATAAAAAAAAACAGTATAGCAACATCGCTATCGGCTTATATGTTTGAAATTTTCACTTTATTTCTCTGAGGTGATTATCTGAGAAGTAAAATTAATATTAAAACTTTTCTATTATTATTAAGTTTTGTAGATACAGATAATTCCATTAATTAATGTTATTATTACTATTAAAAACTTAAATTAAACAATGTGACCACTCTGTCAATGTATAATCTGTGTCCACTCGCTAAGCGTGACATAATTATTTTAAAAAGATAATAAAAACACGTGTTGAAGTCAAATATTTGAAATCCAAGAATGTAGTTTACATTAAAAATATCAATAACACTTTTTTATCTATTTCATAATCATTTTTATCTCAATAGAAAAAATACTATCGTTTTGCAAAACGCTGTTCAATGCTTCGACAATTATTTGAAAATAAAATAGGTCATAAGTTTGATAAACGATTACTATAAAATAATTGGCAAATTAAAACGCTTGTTATTTATAATTATTTACATAATATATGATAGATATAATTCATTAGGTCGCGTTGTTAATCATATTTACGGCTTGTTTATAATTTTTTATACAAAGTTTAATTAGAAATTATCAAATAAAATCAGTTGGTTTAACTTGACTATATTGTTATTTCTTAATTTTATTTGAGGTTATGATTTTTGTAATTACATTTGATTGGTTATAGTTACCTATTGGTAATAAGGATAGTTAAAAATTTGTAAGCAAACTCGGTCGGTATTTATAGTGCGTATCAGAGTGGGTACGGTCAGCAGCGTGTAAAACTAGCGATAGTGTCGCCATCTAGTAACAATTATAATGGCTTTAATATCGCCCGTTTACTGATAAAATGACGTTTTGAATGAGCAATAATGTGTAAATCTCTAGGACGGTCTGCAAAAAAAGTTTATAATTATTTTCATATTATTGGCATTCTAAAATGTTATGGAATGTAATATGTGGTATGATATATTAAAATCAATGGATATTTTTGGTCAAAGTTAGGTGGATCCTTAGATAAGGTTTATTAAGTGACCGATTTCAAAATAACGCGTCAGATTATATATGCTAGACTGTATTGCATGGTATTTTTGCAGACTGTACCTCACTATTGTTCATAGCGCATATAAGACGCAGTGAAATAAAACGAATAGTACATAAGAAGGCAGCTTCCTATAACAAATGTAATACTTAAGATTACTGCTCTTACTCTGATATTATGAATAGACTAGTATATCCACGTGACTTTGCTTTATTTTATAAGAATGATACTGATTAATTATTAATGGGTAGTTATATAGAAAAAAAACTACACAATACAAATATCTAAATAATTATCATTCACTTTCGTTATAATTAAAACTTGTAGTGTTCTTAAGACTATTCAAATTTAGAAACTAATAAATTAATAAAAGAAAGATTCTTCAACTAAATGAAATAAAACGATAATCTATGATTCGTTATTTCAGTGACAACTGATAAGGTGGAGTGCGCTCGAAATTAATTAGACATAGTGGTTTCGTTTGACTTTATTGTAATGCAATTAGGCGATGCTCGAGTGTTACTAATATATAATATTAATCGACAATATTTCAAAATATAGTCAATAAATAAGGGATGTTTATTATATATATAAAAGAGAGAAGTGATTCTCAATAAATAGAGACAATAACAATGTTATTAGGTAGAATATAGTAATAAACAATAGAAAATAGAATAGAGTATAGAAGAATAACTTATTTGTAACTTAATTGTAGGATAGTAATACACTTAACTATAACAGTTCATCATTAACAATATTAAAATAGAAATAATTAACACTAGCAACACTACCTGCTAATGTATTTGTTTATCAAGTGTACACTGAAGTATACTCTTCGTAATAATAAAAAAGTTGCGTTATAATACAGTTTTCAAAGTGTTTTAAAAGTAAAATATTAGATGCATAAGGAGAGTCTGAAAGCGGGCTGAATAGAGTTTGGGGTCGCGCGCCCATCGCCCATCGCCCAGCGCCATCAAATACGATGACATTGCTGTTTGGAGCGATCGATAGCCTCGACCTGTCATTAACGCATCTATATGCATCTATATATAAAATGTACGCTTGTCTTTTTGTGTGCGCGTAACAGCTGGCCCGGCGCGGGGTGGAACACATTCCGGCCCATCGATTACAATTATACAGCTTCAAAAAAACATGTGCTATGTTAGTGTATTATTATGTTAATTTTAAGAATAATGTTCAATTAAACAGATAGATATTAATTACTTTTATAACAAGAACTAGCTGTCTCCCGCGAATACGTCCGCGCAGTATTAAAAACTTAATTTGTACCATATATGTTCTTCCAGAATAAGTTCTGCATCTATGACAAATTTCACCAGGATCCATGCAGTCTTCTGGAGATACCTTCTAACAATTTATAATAATAAGATAAACCGATTAGGTTGCTATAACTGACGAGAATATAAAACACTAAATAATTACGTGGTTTCATTATATAAAATATTGTCAAACGAAACTGTGTTTACCTCGGTCGAGTGCATAACAAGGGGATTTGCTTGAATTATCTAATTAAACGAAATCGGTCGGTCTGTGTGTTTAGTGCAGACATTGTAACCTAGAGCGCAGCACACGTGAGGCTTCCCCGGACGAGCATCACGTCCGCTGCTTTATTGTGCTGTTGGATTATAAAATTACACATAGATTCAGTTAAATAGAACATGAAATTATGTTACTAAGCATTACTAGACTTACTGCTAAAACCAATATTCCATCTTCAACCATCTTTTGTTTATCCGCGGTATTTTGAATAACCGTTTTTTTATTTTTATTTATTTTTTACTAAAATATTTTTGAATACAGTTATATGCAAAATATGTTATTGTTAGGAAGTGACCTTTGCTCTGCGTCAGTTTGACTCGCGATGTACAAAAACAAAGCTCAGTCAGTGGAGACGCATATTTATTCATGATGTTAACAATGGTCCTGTTGGGGAGGAGTGACTTTGGGTTGGCAGTGAAGCTGTTTTATTTGCATTTATGAATTGACAAATGAAAATACAGTATTACTAACATTTGTATATAGTTTTAATGCACAAAAATCAATTAAATCGAAGCACCAATAGACTAAAGCATCTTGCGATCGTGGGGATTATTTTTTTTACCATATCCTAGCACAAGTCTAGAACTTAGTTGAAATGGTTACTCGACATATCTTGGAAACAATTATATTACTGTTACTATTACTTATATTATTATATAAATGAGAATGTTAAGTTGGATGGATGGAGGGTTAAAAGGTATCTCTAGAACGGTTGCATGGATCTCTATGAAATTTGGCATAGATGTAGAACATAGTCTGGAAGAACTCATATGCTACTTTTTTTTAAGTCGAATGCGACAGCTAGTTCGTGAATAAATAAAAATTATAATATAAGTGATAAATGTTGTTGGTTATATTCACAAATGCCCTAAAGTTTGATAACTGTAGCATGGTTATTTTAGAATAATAAATTGATAAGTGTCAATTGCAACACGCGGTTTGCTACACCTGTTGTAAATCGACAGATGTTATGACATTTATATGAATTAAATGTTAAATAATTACGTGTTTATAATATAAATACATTTTGATGAAATCCTTTTTTTTATTATCTTGGTGTTGTCACACGAAAATAAGTAATAATAGATGTATTAATTCGCTTTATTTTAGTAAATTGGCAATAGTATAGACAGGTATGATGTCTTTATGATCTTAATATTGATATTAGAGAGATTTAAATTATATCACTAAGTTTATGCGAAATAATTATTTGCTAAATATAATAAAACATGCAAAGTAATTGTGATAGAAGTTGTTCCTTTTTTTATATTACATTTGTTATTAGTAAAAGAAATTATTCATATTACTTATCGATATAAGTAACTGATACATATATGAGAATGTTTTGACTACATGTATATAATGTACTACATTGTATTACGCGTTATTACATAGTAATATAGTCTACTACTCTCACACCTGTCTCGTACTCTTCTATATAAGTCAAGTAAGCAATAATAATTTTGCATTTTACAGTTTTTTTCTACATATACGTAATCAAACTTAATTTAAAACTAACGATGTATCAAATCACTTCATACCTTTTAAGTAAGCTTATTTTTTACAATACAACTATATAATTTTATTCGTATTTGTGCATTTTCAAAGCACAACAAATAAAGTTGGTGCGCGTCTTAGCTAATAGCTTTGTGGGAGCTTTCAAGAGGCGCTGTCAAACATTTTTTCTCGCCGCTAAGCTTCTCTCTCGGGAATGTATTTTAAAAGCTCGAGGTGGTTAATTGATGGCCGCGGCCGATGCGATACCGATCTCAATGACTTAACTATTTTGAATGAATATTCATGCGGCCCTCGCCTCGCACACTATTTATTTTATTTTTGAGTACACACTCTTAGCTTTTAATTGCTGCAGCTGAGGAGAGCCTTTTGTTTTGCCTCTTCAATTGTAGCGCGCGGACGATTCTATTCTGCCTCTACGGTTCTTATTGTTACTGTATTACTATACAGACTTAATCTACATTTTATCGACAATGACCGTGTACTCATTTTACTCAGCCATTTTTATGTTATAGAATATACGATATAAAGCAGATTTTAACAACGTATAGGTACGCAATAGAAGCCTAATGTCTCACTTCTGTACACACATATTTTTACACATTTATAATTTTCAGTTCTTCATTATTGCTACAGATACTACTAATATATATTAAAACTAACCTTATTTATGTCTAACACCAAGGCCAACAATGCATCTGTAACTTATTTGGCCTAATTTTTGACACTTGATACCGCCTTGATATTTACATTGTGACAGGGTTACTGATAGTGGATATTGTATGTTACAGTACGACGAGAGCCTCCACGGAGGGGGCTACATGGAGGGCGGCGCCATGTACCATGAGCACCGGCTGGCGCACGCGCACCTGCCGCCCGTGCATTACGCGCCGCCCGCCGCCGCCGCGCACGCCGCGCACGCTGCGCACGCCCTGCCCGGCGAGCCGCTCGTGCACAAGCGCGACAAGGATGCCATATACGGGTGAGTCTGGTGGTAACGTGTGTCCTACTCATTATATTAACACCTAACTAACATCCATCATAATAATAAACATGCAATAATCTTCAACAAAACAAAATTAAAACTGTTGGTTAGTGCTGTTGTGTTGACCTCAAGTCCTAAACAAAACGGAAAACAATATAAAAGTTACACTACAAAAATCTTAAGATATCATTATTGCTAACTTTTAAACTTTTACAACGTAGATACAATCTCTGAGATAAAATATTTGTGTCAATTTTCATATTTTCTTTCTTGTTACATTTTCTTGAAGTCTCCTAGTGGTAGCGGACTCAGCAATTGATTTCCTTCCTCAGTTTATTCAATAAAATGTACATCGAATACATCCTCATTTACTTCACATCCTTTAAGGAAATCAGATTTTGCATAATATGTAACCGTCTGCGGTCAAAGTTTGCACTATGATAAAGGTTGTTGACATCAACGTGTTGTAAAATATCATCTTATATTAATTCCGCCTTTAACTTATAATAATATTTTGATTTTGAACGCTGTCTTAAATCACAGTTTTGAAGAACAAAAGGCTTAAAATAAAACTATATCAGGCCAGCCGCAGCAACACGAGGCCACAAACTGTAGCGAAACAAGTCAAAGGATCAAGCGATTAATGAACAAAACAATCAATATTATTGTGTTTAAAAATTACATTGTTTTTTATTGTAGTTATTAACATGTAATATTATATGACTTTATTTGCACTTTTATATGCAAAAGATATAATAATTACTACGTAATTGGCTTCCTCTAAGACTTGTGTAAGATTTATCAAGATTGCAAATATTTGTATCCATTTCATAGTGAATTTGATAATATGTTCAATTTTTCCTATTGAAGTTGAATGATATAATTGTGTGGCATTCGCTCCTCCCATCACTTGGCAACTTGGCATCAGAGTCCGTTACTGGTATCGCTTTGGGTCATAACTCATCCCCGTGTTTACCTCCGCTCGCAGATCCGACGCCATTGGTCGTCTCTACACGACCGTCAATACACGCCTCGGGTACTCACATATTGTCTTATGACACAATAATATATATAGACACTTGATGCTGGCTGAATGGACTTTGTAAAGTACATCATGCAAAGAATAGTTTAAGATATATCTGAGAAGTTTAACTATGTTTTGAATTGACACAGATGATTAGGAGACCAGTTCTAACGAAAATACCAGGACAACATAAATATCCTATCTAGTAGAAGTTCTGTGTAATTTCTTTTTTTATTTAATTTATATTGAATTTAGGCGAAAGGAGGTTTTATGCTTTTTTTAGTGACTTAACTTATTTGTTGATGCAACTGCAATTTTTTTTTTAAATATTGTGAACTTTGTATCAGTGATAAGTTAATGTAATGTAAACGAGGAATATTAGGAGTGAAGTTTCCTGATTTCTTGCTTAAAGAATGAATGAAATTTTATAGGATTACACACAAGATATTTGTATATTAAATAATATTGTAAAAAAATTAGTCAAAATACGATAGTATTGTAATGTTGTGACATTCGCAAATTATCAATTAAATTGGAGTTGACGACGACATAACAAGCACCTAATCTACGTCTTATCGAATGTTTTTGACGTCTTAATCGCGGCTTATAATTTCTATCAGATAGTCCAGCACGGTAGCCGCCGCTCTGGCCTTCCTACATAACCTTATCTCAACACATTTTATTTATAGATATTTATCAATTTAATAAAAGAAAAATAAAATAAATTAAACAAATTGCATTTGCAAATTAAAAATCTATACACTTTTAATGCAAATTCGTGAGATACTAAAAGCTATTTTGATTTGTAAAACCACACACTTTTAAATTGGTCTTATTTAAAATGAATACCGTTTTTAAAATTTGTGTGAACCGTGAAGTAAATGTCCTTTGATTATATTCTAGATATTTAATAACACAATAAAACTTAATAGCCTAGATCTGTGTTACATCAATAGAGATTAATAAGTTGAGGTGCGACGTTTAACGCGTTAAGTCGGTTTACGAGGATCACTGCTTATCAGATCAAAAGTTGTCAAGAAAGTTTCAGCTACTGTTTAGGGTGTGGCGCGACTGATAGCGTTCATATAGAAACAGTTTTTAATAGTTTATTTTTTTCAAGTAGAAGTTTACATTATAATATTAGTTAGTTTTGTCTAACTGTATGATGGGACAGTGGCTCATTATCAAAGCAGTCATTTAGCGTAACCGCTGAACTGCGAGGGTCTGCGGGCGGGCGGCGGTGTTAGTTCCCTTCTCATTGTTTAAAGGTTAATCGTTACTTTAATCGACTTATTCGCATCGTTTCTATTTTTTGTACTCTGTGGTTTTGCGTTATAGAAGTAATTGCAATTAATGCGTTATTTTCATCGTATTTATGTCTGTTCGCCCTCGGGCCGTTGTATCATCGGTTTTTATGCTTCTTATAATTGTATAATAAGGAAGCTTTTGATGCAAGTTATACATAATAAGTACTGTTTTCTTTGCTTCTGTTTTAAATGAAGGCATCGCAACTAAATGAATTGGGACAGCTGCGAATGTGGTCTTACTTCTTGCGGTGCAAACATCATTGTTCTGTTGTTATTGATTATAAATAATCAACTATTCTCATTTATTAGTTCAATTTCCAAGCAATCTTTCTCTTGTTTCCTATGACTGACCTTTATCCTTTTGTACATCTTCGTCTATCATTTTGAATTTTTGTCTTGACACAAAAAGTACTTTGTCTACTTTGTTATTTAAAAAAATATTATCGTAAAAATGTTCGGAAAGCTGTAGATAGATAAAATTGTTATTAATGTAGTAATATTATACGCTTGGAAAACATCCAACTGGCGATAATCCTTATAGGTTCTGGGAATTGTGTCTGACAATCTGAGAGAAGACGAAATCACGTCGTTGTGAAACCAAACACCTTGCAAGGATTTCGACTTTTGCTTTCTTAGAATTACATTGAAATGTTTTATTCTTCTGGATTTTTACCATAAACCTTATCAATCTGACTTCAATAGGTTAAACGATAACATAAATGCAGGCTTTTTGATTACATCTTCATTTGATAATCATCTATAATTTCGTCAAAACTTAAGTATATAATTGATATTGAAAACTCAAAATTTTTAAGATTATTGCTTATCATCTTCAAAGGCAAGATCCACCAATAAATGATCAATTCAAGCAGGTGGTAATCGATGAGTAATTGTTAGAAATGATTAGAGATCCCCCGCCGCTGTCAGTGTGACCCCACACCACGCCGCACAATAGCACTGATAAGATCAGCGTCACGTCGAGCCAATCTGCATGTAACGTGGCGGCGCACGCCAGCGCACACTTACAATCACTGCTTTTGTGTCTGACGAGTTTTTGTGACCGCAATACTCCTTTATGTGTCGTTACGTCGCCCGATCGCTTCACTGTTAATCGGCCACATGAGGTCAATGTCTAAACGCCACATATAAGCGTTTATTACAAATATCTGCGTCCACAATGAAGAGTGGCATCAGCTCCGTGTTTAATAAATGTATATTTTTACTGTTAATAAACTGCTGCTTTAACTTGTTGGCTTTTAACATTAACAGCGATGGTGGCGAGTGTTAATTCTTTTGATTGGTTCGTTTAACTCACATGTCATGTGTCCTCTCTGTAGAGGAACCAATAAGAAATGTTTATTTAAAAACTTTATTACTGTTATAGTATAAAAGCAATGAGGCTTCTTGACATTGATACTGACAAGTTATTTGGTTGACCACCACCAAACAATATTAGAATAGGACGTTTGAAAGAGTGTACAAAGTAAATAGCTGTTGGATTACTGCTGCTTTTCTGACAGTGGGTTTCTGAGACCAACATCTCTGCATAAAACATACCGTCATCCCTTATTATCATTGAGAAAACAGAGATTTTTGTCTAAGAAACTCACAGTTAGTTTATGCCTGCGATAACACAAGTTCACCTGTGTCGTAACGTGACGTGTATGGGGTACGTATATGTAACTCGTTATATTGATGTCCGCAGGCACCCCCTATTCCCGCTGTTGGCGCTGATCTTTGAGAAATGTGAGCTGGCGACGTGCACGCCACGCGACCCCGGTGTCGCAGGCGGCGACGTCTGCTCCTCAGAGTCCTTCAACGAGGACATCGCTGTCTTCAGCAAACAGGTAATAATCTCACTAATATATTGCTATATACATAATTCATTGGTATAATAGCTTAGAGTAAGACATTTCCATTAGTGCGACTAGCCAAGCGCTTCTGATTGCGCGACTCTGTATTTCTATTAGCAATGCATATCCATTTTTCCATATGGGTCTATGTTCGAATCCACAAGTCCAACTGTTACTAAGGAAAGTGCAATTAATATTGGCATAGTTGTTTACTTATTACTTTTAAATCTAAAACAAAGAATTAGTTACTAAATAGATGACTGCAAGAATCAAATATTCCATAATCTGATACGACAACAACGAATACAATAATTTCCTTTTACATTTATGTATACATTAATACAAACATTAACCTGCTTATCTGAAATTAAAAATAACATCGTAACGAATCGATCAACTTCGTTTGACTACAGGTTAATTCAATGCGAAGCGGTCGCACAAACGAAGGAATATGTTGCCAAAGTCGTGAACGTTTCACAAGCGTGCCGTTAGCGTGTCGTTAGCGTGTCGTAGTCGTGTCGCAAGCATGTCGTGAGCTCCGCCGGCAGGCGCGTAAACAATCAATAAGCTCACGCCCACCGGGCAATCCAATCCGCGAGATTTACTGTTGCTAATTATGCTTTATAGTTATTAAAGCATAACGCAGAAGGAATTGCTAACTATAATTTATGTTCGCCATTACAAGCGCGACACTCGCATTTGACATGCTGATACGATTCCATTGCAAATTCAAATACAAGTCAAAAATAACTAATTTTATCATTAGAAACAATTCCAACAACATGTCTTATTAAGTATTTCACATAAAAACTTTAATTATTTTAAATATTTCATTTATGGATATTGCCTTAAATAAAACTTTATATTACTGTTTGAGTTATAAACAGTAAGTAAGTATAATGATTTCTTTCATGTCTCAAACTGCTAAATGACATACATCAGTGCGGCGCGGTGCGGTGCGGTGCGGTGCGGTGCGGTGCGGTGGCGGGGGAAAGTGCTCGCAGCAGTGCATTTTACCAATATCTCTTTATGCGGCCTCGATAATAACACGACATCGGGAATCGACGCAGTAACACCTATCATTTGATCGACAAAAAACCTTATAAATGGAGTAATTTTGTGGCAATCCGAGTCCGTGCAGCGGGTAATCTGGACACAGAGCGACAGCCGCCTGCCATGTAATTTTCTTATAAAACTCTTTTACCGCAAAATATTTGTGGGTTTTCTCTTTTTTGTGACACAATAGGTCGAATAGGCGTTGACGTGTTGCGGTGCGGGGCAATTTAGAAAACAACGTCGGCCGTCCTCCTGCGGAGCGCACACATTAAATTGTCAAACATCAGTCGTATCAAGTCGGAAGCGAGCTGAGTTCAATGTTTACGTATTTTCACTTTCTGTTGTTATTGAGCAGAAAGCAGAGTCAATGCTGGCGATACGTTATCAGTCAAAGACTTCGTTGTGAGCTAATTATTGAAATTGAATCGTATTTATAGCTGCAATAACGCGGCGGATCACGACCCGCGGGTCGGCCGATAGCGCCGGATAGCGGCCGTCACTAGAAGTCATGGAACTGACCACTTGTTATAATTTATATGCTGTAACGTTGAGTCAGGTTTGTTTATTTGCGATCCGCGGCCGTTCGCAAGACAAATAAATCCCGTATCGCGCGCGGCCGCCAGCGCCACTACACAGCACAGACTGACAGCTAGTGATAGCGCATTAAAAATATCGTCGCGTCGATTGCGTTGTAAAATGTCACATACATCATCGTTTCACACATGTACTGAGCACCGAGCTAATCGATCGACACTTTTAATTACTTCAATAAAACGTTTATCGGCGGCTGCGGCGGCGGCTGCACGTGAGATCGCCACAAAAAGAGATAAAGATTCGAACCTCTCGCTCTGCAACGCTTTAATAAGCGACGTTCATAATTCATCCGCGCACCAAATAAATCATAAACGGTAAAGTGTTTATTTTCAACGTACTTAATATGTTATAAATTTATTTAAGTGGCATGCGGTGCGATTGTGAAGTGATTGATATAGCTTAGAGTCCGCGCCGCCGGCCCGCGTGGCGCTAGTGCGCGCCCCGGCCTAGCCAGCCGCCCGGCTCTGCTCGCCGAGTCTACTAACTAACTACATTAGACAGAATTAGCGTTTAACAATCGACACTAGATTTATTCTCTATCTGTTAGCTAAGTGTCTCAAGGCGGCACGCCACGCTAGGTGCAACACGTTTGGAATCGTTGCCAGTTAAAGCGCGCCGCGTTTTTTCTCGCTATCACGCCCGGCTACGTAATAATGTTGTTACGTTAGCGGCAGCAAAACTATAATTCCAATCAATTTTTAATGAAATAGTTTTTTTTCACGTGTCTCGTTACGACGCCAAGTGGACTATGTCAGTGTCGTCGGCATTCTTTAGCGTAATTGCGCGATTGCATTGCGCCGTCGCCGAACGTGCGACGAACCGACAATTTTACTTTGTTTATTGTTAGATAAACATTTATTTATTTGGCTAAGCTTGTAATATCTATTGCCTTGATTATAATAACATCTGACGAATGTGAATCCTTAATTAGTTTTATTACAAGGAAAAAGTCGATATAACTGTCGTTGTAATCGACTAGAGTATACGATATTTAATGGCGTGTCTTGTAATTAAATATAATTGCGAGAATTTTAATTGTCAGCCGCTGCCGCCGTCGCTGCCGGTGGGCGCACCGAGTCGCTCATTCATGACTGATGTGATGCATTCATGAATGACGCTTCTCCAATGTTACATCGCTCGCTTCTATGATTCCCTCACGCACTTTCACTAAGATTTATGCATTTATTTCTACTCATCACGTGATGACTATAATTAAACCTCAAAATTCTAATTTGCAGGTTAACTTTTACCTTTTAAGTCTGTCTCTGAACATTTAGTCGCGTGACTCGCAAGTGTCAAACAGTTGATTGTTCTCAACACTTCATAAGACAGCGCGGGAAAATATTTTTTTTTTACAAATGTCATTATTCTGCACACCTAGTTTTATCTGTGCAAGTAAATACTAATTGAATTCCTAGATATTTTTAACATTATCAATAACTTATATATCATAACTTGTGTCCATCCTCGGGTTAATTGTTGTTGTTTTATCAAGTTTGAATTCCATAGCGTCAAGTTTATAAAAATGTTAGTCGTTTATAGTGAAGGCACGCGGCTGGTGTGAGATAGGATCGGCTCGGGTGTCATCCCAGCATCTCGCCCCACTCTACAAGGATACCTAATTGCACCATCTCCTCTACTCACTTTTTATACATCCATTAAAATGTATATTTAAGTATACACCTGTCACATCTCAGAGTAATTCCTCATTTGTATGATAATTTTTAATTCATCGCGTTTACTTATATTTATGTATTCCTTTGAAATGAAGTATGGAAAATTCCGCTCGCTTGTATTACCGTAGCCGTTCGTGTGTAAACAATAATTCAATGATTTTAATGAGCTTTGTAATTACACGAGCCGAGTAGCGCCGGGAAAAAACTTAGTATCGGACGAACGGGAGGCTAGCGACCGAGAGAACATCTATTTGTGGACAGCTTGATTTAGAAACTCGCTCATACAAAATCATATAATAGGACACTCTCCATCGCTCTTCGTCCACACACTACATGATTCTCTAAGGCCCTGTTATGATTAACCCTAAAAAAATACTTGGATTCCACTTTCACACGTTGGATTATTTGTTCTATAGAATTACCGGTGGTTATACTAAAGTATTCTATTCAATTTGTATTCGTTCAATAGGACAAAAAGCAACGTCGCCGATGATACTGCCTGACTATAGAGTACACTGCTCTTTTGGACGACGCATCGCGTCGGTTCAGTCGTCGCTTGTCGCATTGTGCGCAATGTTTACATCTGTCCATGTTTCGTTTAACATCGATTGTGATGGGATTTGGACGGGCAATTTAACCTCTTTGTCGCCGTTGATCCAATTCGTAGTTTCGCGCGGAAATAAAATAAATAATATGAGTTTGTGTCGGCGAGGCGCGCGGGGGGGCAGGCAGCTGCGCGCGTCGGCCGCGCCAGAGCGGAACGCCGCTACGTACGTTTTTTGCGTCTCTCTCGCACGCAGCGCTCGCGGTTTTTTTTTCGCCAACGCATCGGCGATTTCGTTTTATCGTCCCCATCGAGTGGTTTTTGCCGTTCAGAATTCCTTACGCATCTTGTTTCGGGTTTGTTTGTGCACTAAATCGTCGTCCAGTAAAACTGCGCATTATAAATGTACTTTGAAGATATCCTCTTCATATGCATGCATAGTTGCATACATATCAATTATATAAATATTCTTTTCTTAAGTCAAAAATATCTAAACTGATTTATTTTTGTTTTCTCGCACAAGTGGGTATACTTTAAAATCCCTTAGGGCAGGCGGTTGTGTTTTTGCAAAGAGGACAGTCGATACCAGTCGCCAACCAGTCGCGGAGACGTTAAGTGGATGACATAAGTCTCTTTGGTTTATTTACAGAATCTCACCAAAATATGTATTATTTGTTTAGTAAATCTTAACGTTATCGATGGATCTTGATGGATTAGTTATCTGATATTAGTCACTACATCTCAATGTTTTTATGTGACTATAAAAAGGGAAAACCTGAAGCGTAGTTGAGATAACGAGGACATTTCTTACAAGTGTAGCAAAAGCACGTGGATTAGGTCAGTGTATCACCGTAAGATACGATAAAATATTTAAATAGTTGCGTCAAAACACAATTTTTCTGGTATACGTAACAAATGCCGCTAAAACAATAGGACGTGGGAGCATTTTTCCAACTTAAATATATGTACGTTATGTTCGTTGCTTGAGAAGTGAGGTCCTTCAACTTTTATCGTGCGTAAGTCTCGTTGTGAGCGCACTCGGTGGTCCGCCGCAAGCGCAGAGGGACACTTATCAAATGGCAACGTCAATAAAATGTTTGCCTTACTTTGCGTTACTCTGCCTT